CTTGGGGGTCTCTTGGGAGCCTCTTGGAGGCCTCTGGGGCGCCTGTTGGAGCCTCCTGGGCGCCTCTTGGGAGCCTTGGGAGCGCTCTTGGAGCCCTCTTGGGCCATCTTGGAGCCATCTTGAAGCCTTGGATGGCCATCGGAAGCGAAAAGGCGAGACAGCCAACATCATGGATGTTCCTTACGTGTTGGAAGGATTTTGGCCTCTTCGGGGCCTCCTGGGTGAGCTTTCTGGCCACCTGTAGCCGTATTGGAGCGGTCTTGGGGCCACTTGGAGCATCGTGGGAGCCATCTTGAGGCATCTTGAGATATCTTGAGCTATCTTGGGAGCATCTTGGGCTCTCCCAGGCGCTCTTGGAGTCTTCTTAAGCAGTGCCCCCCCCCCAGGAGGCCAACATGTGGCCAAATCCTTAGTACTTTACTCACTGCATGGAGCCCCACATATGTGCATCTCATGTTTTGAGTCATGCCATAGCGAGCGTGTGTTCATGAGCGATTGGCTATAATAGCGCGTCCACGTGGGCGGCAGGGCCTACGAAAACGAGAGAATCCTAATGCGAGTGACTAAGTATGAGTCAGAGTGAGCTGTGAGTATGATTGAATATGAGCCGTCAGGGGGCGGCAGAGCCTACCCCCTGACGGCTCTTCTTAGGGGTGCTGAAACCAGCGCCCCGCCTGAGACATCCTCACCAACTGCTCTAAACGCAGACGGGCTTGCTCACCAAAACAGCCAAACCTTCTGAGATATCCCCACAAACTGGCCGCGAACGCGCTCGTGAAAACACCCCTGGCGGCTCCCCGTAGGGGTGCTGAAACCAGCGCCCCGCCTGAGAAATCCTCACCAACTACTCTAAACGCAAACGAGTCTGCCCACCAAAACAGCCAAACCGCCTGAGACATCCCCACAAACTGGCCGCGACCGGGCCCGTGTCCTACCCCCTGGCGGCCTTAGGGGTGCTGAAACCAGCGCCCCATCTGAGACATCCCCACAAACTGTTCTAAACGCAGACGAGCCTGCCCACCAAAACAGCCAAACCGAACGGGCCAGTGAAAACACCCCTGGCGGCTCCTGTTAGGGGTGCTGGAACCGGTGCCCCGCCTGAGACATCCTCACAAACTGCTCTAAACGCAGACGAGTCTGCCCACCAACACAGCCAAACCTTCTGAGACATCCCCACAAACTTGCCGCGAAAGGGCTCGTGAAAACACCTCTGGCGCCCCCCCTTAGGGGTGCTGAAACCAGCGCCCCGCCAGAGACATCCTCACAAACTGCTCTAAACGCAGACGAGTCTGCCCACCAACACAGCCAAACCTTCTGAGACATCCCCACAAACTTGCCGCGAACGGGCTCGTGAAAACACCTCTGGCGCCCCCCCTTAGGGGTGCTGAAACCAGCGCCCCGCCAGAGACATCCTCACAAACTGCTCTAAACGCAGACGGGTCTGCCCACCCAAACAGCCAAACCTTTTGAGACATCCCCACAAACTGGCCGCGAACGGGCCCGTGAAAACACAGGCCCTCTTTTGGGGAGTATGAGTATGAGTAAGTCTGAGTATGAGTAGGTCTGAGTATGAGTAGATCTGAGTATGAGTAAGTCTGTGTATGAGTAAGGCTGTGTATGAGTACGTCTGGATATGAGTAAGTACGGGTGTGAGTAAGTCCGTGTATGAGTAAGTCTGTGTATGTGCACGTCTGGGTATGAGTAAGTCTGAGTATGAGTAGGTCTGAGTATGAGCATGTCTGAGTATGAGTAAGCCTGTGTATGAGTAAGTCTGTGTATGAGTAAGTCTGAGTATGAGTATGTCCGAGAGGAGGGGAGGAGAACAAGAGGGAGTAGGAGGCGTCCAAGTAATAACAAGAACCCCATCTTAGGACATGGGGAGCACAACCAATGATTTTGGCATTCTCGCCGAGGCCCCTTGGAGCGCCTTGGGTGCCTCTGGGGGGCCTCTGGGGGCCTCTTGGGGGTCTCTTGGGAGCCTCTTGAGGGCATCCTGGGGGCATCTTGGGGGACTCTTGGAGCCTCCTGGCCACCTCTTGGGGCCCTCTTGGGGCACCCTTGGGAGCTTTGGGAGCGCTCTTGGGGCCATGTCGGAGGAGATCGATCAAAAAAGGTGTGTCACTTAATCAGCGTTGCCCCCCCAAGAGGCCCAACTGGGGCCAACATCTTATAACACTAATGATTTGGGTTTCCTCGCCGAGGCCGTTTTGGACGTTCCGACGACCCGCGAAACGCCCCAATGGGGGTGGAAGAGGAAACACCATAAGCAACCTCCGCCTCCAGGTACGGCGAGGTTTAATATAGATATGTACTCCAGATTTCGTAATAAAGGGAGGGGGGTCTCATTTCGTGGGGGGGGTCTCTTCCAGGCTATCTTGGAGGGCCTGGGGGGTCTGGGGACGATGTTTTGGAGGGTTCTGCCACGGGGGAGGTCTGAAATGGCTTGTCTTGGAGGCTCCAGACCCCCTTCCTTTTATTACGAAATCTGGGGTAATTATATAGAGGGAGAGGAGGGGAGAGAGAGAGAGAGAGAGAGAGAGATAGAGAGAGAGAGAAAGAGAGATCTGCGTAAGGCGTCACCCCGCTGGACCCACTAGCAGCCTTCGAACGTGCCAGCATTTTTGAACTTCGCAGCCCCCGAGAAATATGGTGGGGTTTGTTCTGAGTCTGCGCAATGGGTCACTCCGCTGGACCCCCCAGCAGCCCCCGAACGCAGCGATGTTTTTGTAGCTTGCAGCCCCCCAGGGATGGCGAGATGTCGTTAAGGTCTGCGTAAGACGTCACTCCGCTGGACCCCCCACCACTCCTCGAAAGTGGCGACTGTGTCGCTGTTCGCAGCCTCCCCAGGAATGGCGAGGTGTACCCTAGGTTTGCGTAAGGCGTCACTCCGATGGACACTCCAGCAGCCGTCAAGCATGGCGACGGTTCCGCAGTTCGCCAGTCTGCGTAAAGCGTCGCGTCGCTGGACCCCCCGCAGCCCTCGAACGCGGCGGCAGCTTCGCAGCTCGCAGCATTCCAGCAAGCCCCGAGGCGGGACGGCGAGGCAGGAGGCAGGGTAGCAGGCAGGTAGGAGGGGACGCGAGGAGCGTGACGGGAGGAGGAGGTCGCGACCGCAGCGCTCCAGTCAAAACGACAACCCAACGCAAGAGGGTTGGGCAAGAATGCCATGCGGCGCAGATTTGCCAATCTGAACCTCGCTTTCTCAGGCCTTCAGCCCTCACGATTAGCTTATAATAGTGTTGTTTCCTCCTCGCCCCGATCGCACATCTGCTGATCTCAACAACGCCTCTAAAGCCCTCAACGTTCACAATCCTATGCAAGGATGCTTTGCTGCACCTGCCCACGTTCAACAGTTCGCGATGAAAATCTGGAAGGCTGACGACCCTCTGCAGAAAATACTACGGCCAGACCGAGGTACGATATAAGATCGAGGCTGATTCGGAGAAAGTACCTGCATGTTCTTCGTGTGTGTTTGGTGTTCTTGTGCATCCTGGGGGAGGGTGCCCTCGAATGTTCTTCAGGTTTCCGCCAGCGGAGGGTCTCATGCTCGTGAGGGATGTATTTCTGTCTTAGGTCTGAATGTATGCGATGTACACCGGTTGACCTCATCATCGCCTTCTCAAGCCATCAACCTGCACGATCCCATGCAAATGACATGTTGTTGCTGCACAGCCGTGATCACGATGGAAATCTGTGCCGCTCACGATCCTCTGCCCTAGCGTACAGAGGTTCCCCCCCGAACCCTCCAGCGCAAGGGGGGGTCCGAAATCCGCCCCCACCCCCCCCTTTTCAAGGGAAGGGAAGGAGGGGGGATTCCCAAATTCCCCCCCCCCCTTTTGAAGGGTTGAGGGGGGGTTGCGCGAGCACCCCCCCTTTCAATTTGAGAGGCATCCACTGCCGCGTCTTCCCTCTTGACAGTGTGGTGGGTGCCTGGGGGCCGTCGTGGGGTCGTCCTGGCTCCGTCCTCGGCAGCCGAAGGGCTATCCACTAGGCCGTCTTGGGTCCCATGGGAGGTCCTCTCGGGCCGCCTCGGGGCTGTCTCGGATGCCTCTTGGGCCCTCGTCGGGCCCTCTTTGGCTTTCTGTGGACTATCGTGGGGGCCTCCTGGGCCGTCTTGTAGCCATCGTGGAGCCTTCCTGGACCGTCCTGAGCTGGCGGAATCCCGACGAGGCGAGGATGCGAATCCCATTTTAAAACCAGATGGGGATCAGTGAGTCTGGTTCCTTCGGGCCCCGCGGGAGGTCCTCTTGGAACCCTGTCGGGCCCTCCTGGAGGCGTCCTGGGCCGTCTCGAGGCAATCTTCGTTCGCCCTGGGGCCATCTTGGCCCGTCCTCGAGACATCGTGGGCCATCTTGGTTGCCCTGGCTGCCTGCCTGGGCCGTCCTGGGAAGCTCGGAACGCGGAGACACTGTTTTTCACGACGGATCGTGGTCGCGGGAGCGAAGCCACAGAGGCGGGGGATGAGCCTGCGGCTGCCTGATAGCAGACCGGGGGAGGGGGCGCACTCGGCTACAACAGGCCCTGCAGATCAGCACATGGCATTCTAACACGCCCACATCGTGCAGGCATCGTGGCGGATGCTGATAAAAGGATACGGGTAGTACGTAAGAGCTGGGGGATGAGGACGAGGAGGAGGAATACTTGGAGGAAGGATGGAGGAGGGATGCAGCAGAGAGAGGAGAAGGACATGAGATGTGGGAATAGGGGGCGATATAGGGGAAGGGTCAGGAGTCCAGGAGAAGCGTGGAATGCTGCAGGTGGATGGAGGTTGGAGGAATGGGGGTGGAGAAAAGGAGAGATACAAGAAGGAGGGAGGATGGATAAAGGACGGGGGGCTGGGGATTAAGGGGGGAATTGGGGTTGGGGGGGAGTGGGACTTTAGCGGTGATGGGAGGTGGACGGGTAGGAGGAGGACGTGGATGCGGAGGGGTACGGGGAGGGGAAGAAGGAACATTGGAAATGTGAAGGGGGACGAACCATGTATCAGGAGGAGTAAAAAGGTCTGGGGCGTCAGCGGCGACGTGTTCAGGAGGGTGCTGCGCGATCACGCTGAGCACAGCCGAGCAGAAAGCGCGCTTTTTCTTGACTCGGTGCGCTTGTTTGACGCTGCTTCTGCTACGCAGAGGGAGCGCCTGGGAGAGCTGACCCTGCTCGAAGCATTCAAGCAGGGCGACCAGGTGCTGTCGCAGGGCCAGCCCTCGAACGCAGTCTACTTTGTGAGGAAGGGGCAGCTCTCGAAGGTTCAGGGTGGCATCATCCTGTCCGACAGAAGAACCAGTGCAAAGCACATCGCGACCCTCAGGCCGGGTGACTGCTTCGGCGAGCGTTCTGTCCTCTTCGGCTCGCCCGAGAGCGAGTCGGTGGTTGCTGACACCGCGTGCGAGCTCCTGAGCATAAACCAAAAGCAGATCAGAGAGGTGTTCGGGCAGGGTGAGCTGTCAGCCTGCCTGGAGCGGGCCTTAGCCCTGTCCGTGCTGCGGACCGTGCCAGTGATATCACAGCTCAGTTTCAGGAATTTGCACCAAATCGTGGCGGTCATGCAAGCCAGCAGCCATGAACCTGGCAGCGTCGTGGACGCTAGCAAGCGCCTGTTGATCGTTCTGGACGGAGAGATCTCTGGCAAAAGGGTGCCCACACGTGACGACGGCCCGCCCTGCAAGGCGGCGGCAGGCGCCGCATCCAACGCGGTCAGGCAGGGCATGGCCATGAAGGCCGAGGCCGCGGCGAAGGCGGAGGTCGAGGTGACCCTCCGTAGAGGCCAGTGCTGCGGCGAGGGCGCATTCGCCGAGCTCGTGGGAACCGACAGGAGCGGCGATGCCAAGCAGAAGCCGGTGGCCGGGCTGGCCAAGGTAAAGGCCGGTGAGCAGGGGGCGCGCTTGTTGAGTCTGGCGAAGCAGGATCTAAGCAAGGCGCTCAAGGGCATGGGGCTGGCCAGCCTGGGCACCGGAGAGAAGGCTCGAGTAGGGATCGACTGCAGAATTGATTTACCCCAGACTTCATTTTCCTGCCGAATATGCCAAAGTAGTGGAATAACCGATTCGCATTCTACTACACATGTTCCGTACAGTCGGCGAGAAACATGGGGGCAGACCAGTCCCGTAGCCGATCCTCTACTCGAAAGGCCGAGGAGCGGCTCCGCAAGACCCTCCTGGCCCGCAAGGTGCCCATCTTCAACGACCTCTCGGAGGATCAGATCAACAGCCTGGTGGGCTCTTTCGTTCACCGGAAGTACACGCGCGGCGCCCGCGTGATCGAGAAGGGCGAAATGGGGAACGCAATGTTCATCATTGAGAGCGGCGAACTCTCGGTTCTGGGCCAGACTCTTCTGGGCACCGAGGTCACGACCCTAGGGCCCGGCTCCTGCGTGGGCGAGCGAGAGCTGATCCTGGGCGACCAGCGTGGCGACCAGGCCCGAGCCTCCTCTGTCGAGGTGAAGGGCAGGGCCGCAGAGCTGTGGTCGCTGGACCAGGCGGCCTTCCTGCGGGCGGTCTCGGAGAAGATGCGGGAGGACCTGGTCCGCCGCATGAGGATCGAGGACACCCCCGTGACCCTGAAGGCCCTCCGGCACATCCGCTTCATCGGCGTCGGAGGCTTCGGCTCCGTCCAGCTGGTGGAGCACCGCTCCGTGCCCGGCGTTCGCTACGCCCTGAAGCGCGTGGTGCTGAAGGACGGCGAGGTGCCGGAGGGCATCAGGCAGGAGTGCGCGCTGCTCGCCGAGGTGAAGCACCCGCTCATCCTACAGCTGGTGCGGACGTTCAAGACTTCCAGCAGCATCTACATCCTCACGGAGCTGATCACCGGCGGCTCCCTGCAGCAGCACTTGCCCTCTCTGGGGGCGACTCGGGAGGCAACCTTGCCAGGAGTGGCAATTCAGTTGCGTATCTGTTGTTGCCCGATTTCAGCGCGCTGGTGGCCCATGGGGTCCGCGTAACGCTTTTAGTGTATGCTCGAACTGTTTGTTGTTTGTCGTAAGTGGACCTTGGCGAAAAAAACAGACATCCTAAGGTGATGGAGCGGCCAGCCGCGCGATTCTACCTGGGTACCATGGCGCTCGCCTTGGAGGCGCTCCACGACCGGCTCATCGTGTACCGCCGCCTGAATCGGCCACGCGCAGAGGGGGGTAGGGGGAGCGGGGAAGGTTTCTTAGAAGCACCCCTGCTTCTTACAAGGCGCGGGCATGATCTATACATGCAAGGCCCGCGCCTTCTAAGCAGCGGCCCCCTTCTGAGAAGCCTCCCCCCCTCCCCCCACCCCCGTCTGCGCGCCGCCAACTGAAGCCTGATACCAGAACCCTAGGCACAGATGCCCCCCTCTCCCGCTTGCGCTCCGGACCCTGCTCGTGGGGTCCGAGAGGACGGATTTCTGTGGAGAGACAGGTACCCATCGGTGGCTGAAAGTGGGTATTTTTGGATCTCCAGAACCCAATCTGCTTTAGGCGCCTTCCTACCTCAAGAGTCGAACGGTTGTCACTCTTCCCTCCCCTTCAGGGGGCGGGCGGAAGCCCAATCTACTTTCAACGCCTTCCTACTTCATGTTTGCACCTACTTTTAAGTCGGGCCTGTCCCCATCCAGGGGGATTTTCGACGACAAATAGAAAATTCCCCAAAAATGGTTTAAAAATAATACAAAAATAGTCTGGGGACTATTTTTGTATTATTTGTTTTACATTTTGGGTGTTTTTCGTCGGAAATCCCCCTGTAGGGGGACACGTCCGACTCAAGCCTGCGTCTTCCAACCGATGGGTACTGCAGACCGCTGCATGCCAGGGGGTCTCGGCCGCAGTGCCAGGCACCCGCCTCGGCACGTGGGGGGGGCCCGGGCGTCTGAGCTCCCCGCGTTGCGGAAGCCCCTCCCTGTCCCGTCCCTCTTCCTGCCCTCTCCTCGGCCCCCATCCTCCTCCTCCTCCTCCTCCTCCTCCTCCTCCTCCTCCTCCTCCTCCTCCTCCTCCTCCTCCTTCCTCCTCCCCTTTCCTCGGTCCCCCCTCGTTTCATTCTTCCATACTGACTTCCTGCGTCTTCGTCGTTCCGCTCGTCCCCTCCTCCCGCATCATGAGCTCTGAACGCTGCGCGTCACCCCACTGGCCCATGCAGGAGCGACGCCATGAGGAGTTGCCCTGATCAGGGGGTTGCCCTGCTCAGGGAGTTGCCCTGATCAGGGAGTTGGCGTCTGCTCGCCGTGTTTCCCCTCTTCCCCATCCCTCCTCTTCCTCGTCCTCCTCCTAGCCTCCCTCCGTGCTTGGCGCGGGCGCGCGCGCGCCTAACGGCAGGGTTTGGCGGCTCACACCCCGCGGTCGCATCTCCGCCCCGTTTGCTCTCGCCGCGCGCTGTGCGCGGCAGTCGTTCCCCCCTTTCGTCCTCGTCCTCTTCCTCCTCCTTCCCCTTTCTTTCTGTCCCCTCTCTGAGCTGCAGCGCTGCCGCCCTGCGCGCGCCCGCCCGCGAAGGCGGCCGGGCGAAGGCGGCCAGGAACGGCTGGCAGGGGTTCGTTCCCCCCCCCCGGTCTGGGTCAGGGGCTGCGGCTCGCAGGCCGGGGGGCGTGTACTCCAGGAAGACAGCCTAAGCGGGGGAACGCGCAGTGGAATAATGGGCTCGGGAAGCCGTCATACCCTAAGAAGGGGAGGATGGAGGAGGAATCGAAAAAGGAGGAGGGGGAGTGGGAGGGGGAGGGGAAGGGGGAGGGGGGAGGAGGGAGGAGAGAGGAGGGAGGGATAGTCGGATGAGGAAGATGAGGAAGACGAGGAGGAGAAGGAGGAGAAGGAGAAGGAAGGCCAGAAACCTCTTGACTTTCGGAGCCCCTCCGGATGTCTTTTGAGAGCTCCTTGGGATACTCTTGGGGCGCTCTGCGGGCCTCTTGGCGGTCCCGGGGGCATCTTGAAGCGTCTTGGGGGCCTCGGGGGAGCTTCGTGGGGCCTCTTGGGGGGCTCTTGGGAGGCTCTTGGGGGGCTCTTGAGAGGCCTCTTGGGGGCCTCTTGGGAGGCTCTCGGGAGGCTCTCGGGAGGCTCTCGGGAGGCTCTTGGGGGGCCCCTCGGGGGGCCCCTCCGCGCCTCCCTGGCGCCTCTTTGGCCCGTTCTTGGGGGGCTCTCTCGGCAGCCTTGGCGGCCCTCGTGGGGCCATCTTGGAGGACTTCGAGGAACCAGCCAAAAGGGGTGTGGTCAATCAGCCCCCCCCCTTGATTCCCTCTCACGTTCCTCCTGTCGTCCTCTGGCTAGCAGGACCTCGGTCTCAGTTGCCGCGAAGATCGGGGCCTCGTCATCGTCGCCCGCACCCCGCAGGAGGCTAAGATTTGCACAAGACCTCGTGAGCATCTCGAGACCCCGAGGCCACCTTGGGCGTCCGAACCGCTCGCGCCCCCCCCCAATCCAGGTCCAGGGCAAGGGGATAGCGGGAAGGGTCGAGGCCCCCCCCCTTCGCCCGCAAGCCGTCCCGCCCACTTCCACCCGCCCTCCCAACACAGAAAGTAACACCCGAGGGAGTCTCAGCATGTTGCTCGGGAGCGCCACGCACGCCATGTGTGCCGCGGGTCCCGGGTGCACCAGGCACCCTGGAGGCCCAAGCGAGGCACGTGCTCCACGGCACCCCTGCCCTCCCTGCCAAAAACCAGTGCGAAGTGGTCGCGGGGCGCCCGCGCACGCTGCCGATGTGGAGGCAAAGGGCATCCTGCACTGTTTTTTGACAGGGGTGGCTGGCATGCGCGCGGCGAACAACGAAGTGCATCCCGTTTGTCTTGTGCCAGGGATGGTCAGCTCGCGCGCAGCGAGGAATGTGACGGCAACCCCCGTCGCCCTCTGTCAAAGACCAGTGTAGAGTGGTCGCGGGGCGCCCGCGCGTGCTCCGGAGTTGGAGGCAAGGTGCATTCGGCATTGTGTATTGAGAGGGAGGGTGGTTGGGGGGGTGGGCATGTCCCGGGTTGGCCCACAGTCGCGCGGGGGAGGAGGGCGCGTGTATTCATAAGACGCAGCAGTCAAAACACTTCTCCCAAACGCAAGCTGTTTGGCTCACTTTCG